TTCTGCACTCCCTCTTTTCTTCTGACGTGATTATACCAACTCTCCCCCTGACAAAGCCAATCTCTTTGGCACCTTATTCTCCTCTAACGCCACCTCTATCCCTCCTACCCCTGCTCCTCCTACTGAACCTATGCACTTTCCTATAATCTCCACTCGTAGGGTTGCTGGTGTGTTATCCAGGTTGGCTGTGAGTAAGGCGCATGGACCAGACGTAATACCGCCTCGTGTTCTGAGGGAGTGTGCTGAAGTTCTGGCCCCTGTGCTTGCTCACCTCTTTTGCCTCTGCCTCAATACCCAAACTTTTCCTTCTTCTTGGAAGCTTGCCTTGGTTCAGCCCATCCCGAAGAATGGTGACCATTCTAATCCCTCTAACTGTCGCCCCATTGCCCTAACTTCATCCCTTTCTTAAGATTTTTTAATCCATCTTAAACTCTCATTTTCTCTGTCACCTTGAATGCCTTTCTCTTTTGTTTGATCACCAGTATGGCTTTCACCAGTCGAGATCAATTGGTGATCTGTTCTCCTACTGCACCTATTTTTGGTCATCCTCTCATAGGGATTATGGGGAAACTTTCGTCATGGCCCTTGACATCTCCAAAGCTTTTGACAGGGTATGGCACAAGTCTTTGCTTTCTAAACTTCCCTTTTATGGTTTCTCTCCCCCACATTGTTCTCTAATTTCGAACTTCCTTGAGAACCGCTCTTTCTCTACCAATAGTGGTGTCCCACAGGGTTCTGTTCTTTCACCTACTGTCTTCCTTCTTTTTATCAACAATTTACTTCACACTACAACTAATTTTATCCATTCTTATGCTGATGATTCTACTCTTCACTCTTTTCCCTTCCCTCCCTAATTCTTAAACTAGATCTGTTTCTAGAGCTGATATCATTTCATCTATCAATGCACATCTGTGCAGCATCTCCGAATGGGGAAGTAGAAACTTGTTTAAATTCAATAGTAATAAAATACAATATTTACCAATTACACTTTTCAAATAAAAGTTCTCCCACCAATTACATTTCAGGACGCAATTGTTCAGACAAATTCTAAAGTAGATATGCTAGGCCTCACCATTTCCTCAAATATGTCATGGAAGCCACACATCCACAACATTGCTAAAGCTGCCTCTCAAAAGCTAAGAATGCTGTACAGATGCCGTAGCTACTTCACTCTTGAGCAGTTGTTTCAAGTTTATTAGGGATTCATTCGTCCTAACTTACAGTAGAGTACTGCTCTCATATCTGGGGTGGCTCTACTTCTGCCCAACTGTTAGATAGGGTTGAATCAAAGGCATTTTGTCTTATTGACTCTCCTCCTTTAGTTGACAATCTTTCTTCCCTTTCTCTTTGCCACAATGTTGCTTCACTCTCTCTCTTTTACAGGTACTTTAACAGACAATGATTGATGGATTTGGCATCCTGTGTACCGCCAGCAAGGCCGTGGGCTCATAACACACTTCTTGTCCGCGGTGCCCACCATTTCTCTGTAGGTGTCGGTCACACTAGAATAACCCGTTATAGTACATCCTTCTTTCCTCACACAGCCAAACTGCGGAATGCTCAGCCTTCTTCTGTGTTTCCATACTCATACAATGTCTCACTTCAAAATGCTGGTTTCCCGGCATCTTCGTGGTGTAGATTAATATAACCTTTTACTCTTATTTTTTTGCCCCCCCCCCCCTACCCCAGGCCCCGGTGTGGGTCGATGACCTGTGCCCGGGTGGGCCATTCCCTGTAAAAAAAAAAAAGGTTTTGTTTTATTTGTTTCTGTTTGGTACAAAACAAAACAAAATAATGAAAAGACTTCATTTGAAAGCAAATTTTATCTTTTTCTTTGACCTTTTATGATAAATATTTAAATTTTTCTAACATCCTCTCCGAAGTGTTAATGCCTTGAAATTATTTGCATTTTGATAGTCCAGATATTTAACATTATTTTAGATAACAGGTTTGAATAAATGGACAGCTACACGAACATTTTCTATGAAACAATCCTATATTTTTATAGAAGAGGGGCGTGGCTTACGGGCCAGGTTAGCAGGGAAATACTATAGTCTTACAAAGGCACCTATTCCTAATTTTGTTATCATTCCTGTTTCTTCTCATGTAGTTTATAATTTTGTATTAGTTATGTATGTTGTATAGGTAACCCGAGCTATCTTTTCACATGTATTTATATTGGTTTTATGTATATAAAGAGCTCTTCCATTTTGTGGTAACAGAATCACTTTCCAGTATTATATTCTTTAGCAGCTTTTACAAGTGTTTATGCTGCTGGGTTATCAAAAGACTGCATGCTTCACCCTGTGCTTTAAATGTGAGATACTTTACATTGTGTACACACACACACACACACACACACGCACACACACGAGATGCATGCTTGATATGGTGCAATTGAATCTGCATCGATCATTAAATATAGTATAAGGTATACCCCCTGTATATAGATGCACACACATACTTATAACACAGTACAGTAATTTTAAAGTATCTTTTTAAATATTACAAAGTCAGATTGCACACTTCCTCCCCACCTTTCTGCAGATTGTCTTATAGAAGTTCCAATAGCCAGCTTGTTGCATCCTTTTCATTTTCATGCAGACTTTGTACAATCTGTTCGGATGAAGTTTAGCCGACCACCTCAGGCCAGTCACACACACGTGCCTGGGACACTCCAGTTTCCTGCCTCAGACGCCCTACCTTCAGCTTATCCCTCGTACGTGCTGCAGTATCACTCCATGGCCTCTGCACGTCCAACACTGCGGCACCTCTCTTTTTTTTTTATCACGATCTCCATCTCCAAGCATTGCTGTTTTCTGTTTCTTGATTGAAATTTTTTCCATTGTAAGGAGATGACCTTGTTTAATGATTAAGCCGTACAATATTCTAGTTGAAATATTCTTCACTTTTGTCTATTTAGTAATTAAGCAGTACTGAAAATGTTCTGATTTACTAAGCTCTGAATGAACATTATTGCTATAACAAAATATAAAGTTAGAGGTGTATTAGGAATGGTTAATAGGGTAGTTGAGAGTTGAGGTGAAGTACTGGATAGTGGTAGTTTAATGTATACTGTAGGTGTATCACAAGTTGGTGAACATTTCTATAAATAAAGGAAAAGAAAATATAGGCCTTACTGACTGCAAAAATATTTAGAGAATTAATTCCTGTTTGTGCATTTTGTAGGATGGCCACATTGAACAGTAAAGTTTTGGTTGCTGGAATGAAAAGGTAACATGTAGAGTAGGTTATGGGTTATAAAGAGTAAAGTTTTATGTGGAATAATATTAGTACTATATAGAGAAGGATACAAGGTTTTCCCAAAGACATAACTGTAAAGAGTAAGGTTGTACAGAATGTGAAGTGAAGTTGGTGTACTGTATAGTGTGAGGTTTTATATAGTGGAGGATTGTTTATAGAAAGACCCCAGATAATGAAGATATAGAGGGAGGTTGGTATATATATGAAGTGATGTTAGTATATGGAGTAAGGTTGGTATCTGGAGTATGGTTAATAGTATATAGAGAAAGGTTAGAATAAAGGCTAAGGTTATATACAGTACTGTTTAGGGCATTGTTGGTATAAGGGGTAAGGTAACTGTATATGGAAAATAATTATTGTTCTTAGGAGAAATTTAAGCACTAATTAATGAACATATATATAGATACTGGTGAACTGTCTATAACTATTTGTTTGTGTAAGTTTAACTGCGATTAATATAACATAGCACGTTTTTGTTGAAGGCTAAATCGTGGGGTGACTGATGGCTTACTAAATCCTCGAGTAAGACGACTTAACCCCAAGAGTAAATGAATTACAATAGTTCATGAATTAAGATATTTTAACCTCTTGAGTAAATTTACTTAAACCCTTCAGAAAAGTGAATTAGTACATTGAGATACCTTATGCTCTTGAGTACATCGTAATAGCTCAAAGATTAAAATATCTTCATCCCTGAAGTGTGGTGTGATGGCTTAATTCCTTGAATACAATGACTTAACCCCTTTAGTACAATGGGTTAACCCCTTGAGGACAGTATTTTAACCCCTTGAAAATAATGGGTTAACCTCTTTGAGTACAATGGCTTACCAGTAACCTCTTTGAGTTTGAGTTTAACCCCCTTGAATATGAAGGGTTAAACCCATAAGTATGATGCCTTAGCCTTTGAAACACAGTTACCTATTTTCTTGATTATTATAAAGCTGTACTCGTAGTAGTAACTACTGATGTTTGTGCATGGTCGGGAAACACTGCTGAGTGGTGTTTGGGGATGGACATGCTGCTGGTGTGTAATGCTGGGGTGATGCATTAACCATTAGTATGCCAGTTGGATATCTCAGGGAAAGGAGGGGATCTTTTTTGTGTAATGGGGACACTATAGTAGAACACAGTTGTTAAAGCAGCTAGAGTGGAAGAGTGTCCATGATGCTCTTCAGAAATCTTGTGGTATACATGGAGAAAAACATCATCTTCAGGTAGGTACTGGTAGGGGTGTGTATGTAAGTAATGCTTGTGCACGGGTTAAGTGTTAGGTTTATGTACAATATTATGAAGCAACTCATACTTAGAACTATGAATTAGATTGAATTGTGCATAAACGTGAGGCGGATTGATATTATTTTTATCATGTGATCTTCTGATACAATTCATAAACCATCCAGTATGAAGAAAGAGGAATCTTAGTCTTTTTTAATTTGACAATGAAGTAAGCCTAAATTAAATTTATTTCTTCAGTTTCACCTTCTTTGGGGGTACCATACAAAATTTTAATTTGACCATGAGTTAAGAAAAAATGATTGAGTATTAATTTTTATGATTGAGTATTAATTTTCTGATCTTCCCTTGTGACTGTTGTAGTTATAAGCTACCCACACCATGTGGAGAGTGTAGATGTTCTGAATAAGACTGTGAAGTATCCATAAGTCGACTGAGTTTTAATTTTGTGGTCTTGCCTTCCCCAGACATTTGAGTTGTCTTGTTCTTGTTCCTTCGTGCAGTGTATGCTGTAGAACCCGTGGGTAAGAACCTTCAGAGGTGTCTCGAGGCGAAGCAGATGCTATGGCCAGACTCTCCAAGCTTCCTGAACACTGTGGCAGACTCCATTAGGTTACAGGCAGTAAGAATGAAAATAATTATTACTCGCTTAAGCTTTCCCGCATTGATATAAGAAATCCTTACTCCATAGCTAATTCAGACTTGATATAAATGAACTGTCATGATTATCAGTGTGCAGTATTGTCCTTTTAGTTGTTCTGATTGAATCTGTAAATTTGTATTTCTTTGCATGTACTGAATGGAGATAAATATTTATACAGTATTTTACTTTCCTCTTACTTGCGCTCACTTTCTTGTGGTCTTGCTTATCCACCCGAATTATGTTTTGTTTTTGTTTTATTCATTTCATTATTTGACTTGGATGGAATAAAACTTTAGCTACAGTTGCATTGTATACCACATTTATAAATTCTCTTATTTCTGTTGCACTTTCTCATTCATGAATGTATTGGTGGTCAAAGGTGACATATTTAACCAGGTAAGGGAGATGGATGTTGGCAAAGAACAATACTGGAAGATTGACAAACATTATGATACTCACCCACTATGATAACTGCAGGGTGTTTGGAAGAAATGGAACCAAATGGGTTAGGATTAGGAATTAAGAGAATTTGTTTATTTAAAGTTTTGAAAATTCTCTTCTTTCCCAGCCCCCACTCTTAACATCCCTTATTTCCTGTATGTTTACCTTGACACATCATATTTGTGTTCCATCTTAGATGCCTGGAATCAGAGACAACACAAACTTCCACTCAATTTCTGTCATTTGTCCTTTCTAGCTACTTTACCAGATGTGCTTCTTTAACCTCTTAATGGTTACTGACGTCAATTACACCATCCTTTGTCATACGCTAATTGATCAGTGACATACTTACAGATTGGTCACCTGGCATTTCCCATCATCTGTGACAATGCAAACTCCAGAGTCTTCACAGTTACTGATGACCAGATGATTGAAGGAATGAAACTTTCTTTTGAGCGCCTGAAGGTCAGTGAAGGAAGAAATTTATTTTTTTATTTTTACATGACTAGTTGATGTGATAATGAGGTTATCAATAGCAATGGTCGGCGACCCCCGAAAATTTTTATAAATAGAATCCGCCCTTGCGTGTGTTGTCAGCTGCAAAGTAGGACAAACATTCTGGTTCACTGGGGACAATGGAATTAAGTACAGATGTTGTTCAAAGTACAATGGGGAAGTCTAAAGAAAGGAGCCACTCGACATTGTTGTTATGGCCTTTGTAACAGGGATAGCAGGTATGCAGCCCGTGAACATATGCAAGGTGTGAGATGACTTTATAAATCAAAGTCATAACAATACAAACAGCAAGATATATTGTACTAATTTGTAGCCATTTTCACTGCACATTTTTCCTTACCTTTGCACTAATGCTGGCTTATTTCCTGTGACTGGCAAGCCTCTATATTCCAGCCATCTCTTCATCTGACATACAGAGTGTTGTGTAATGTCACCAGTGATCCCTCGGTTAACGAACGCCTCGGTTAACGAAATTTCGGTTAACGAACTGCCTTCCATAAGAATCTTCAATTCGGTTAACGAACAAAAATTCGGTTAACGAATTTCTTACGAACCGACCTCAACATGTTTTCGCTTGCACTGGCCGGGCAACCAGCTTTAGTATCAGTCCGCCAATACAGTAATCGGTTTTAGGGCTTAAATTCCTTACTATTTTAGTAAATATCAAGAAGTTTATACTATTCAATAATTTTAAAAGTTTAATATTAACTTTTTTTAGTCATTTTAACAATTATTGAACATAATTGAAGGCAAAGAAACTAGTTTCTGGCACGCCATCCAGCCTGTTAACACACCAGACAGGCGTTAGTCTCTTTCTGTTTTCATTGGAGGTAACATCTTGCTTGAGACTCTCTTCAACTAAACACTTTTTTTCTGTGTTTCCAAGCAAATTATTGGTCATTTTGAAATATATTTTACATATTGACAATATATAATGCAGTGCAGTGTTGATTTAAAGAAAATAATCTTGAAATACCAGGGCTGTGGAGTCGGAGTCGAGGAGTCGGAGGAAATTTCGGCTTGTGGAGTCGGAGTTGGAGTCGGTAAAATTGTCCAGACTCCGACTCCGACTGAAGCTATTCTGTTCCTAAGAACAAATATATGAACTCAGGCATATTCATTGCAGTGATTCCACTGATCCCACTAATTTTCTTAAATTATTAAAAGAATTTATTTCCATTTTATAAGCATTATTATGAATTTATTGTAGCAGGCACAGTATAGCACTATAATTTTGGACGATAGTCTCTTCTTTACCATTTGAAATTTTGAATTATATCAAATTTTGTTTCGTTGAAAACTGCACAGAGGCTCTCAGCTACAAAACAATTAGCTACAACCTGTTTTTGGTGAGATTAAGGCAAATTTAATTTAATAACTTAATCATGTAAGGTTTATCCATTTTCCTTAATAAGGTATTCATTTCTTTAATGTACATAAATATATAACTTTACTTTAAAAGGAATTGTAGGATCATCATTTAGATCCACATCAGATTATGAGCTTAAACAAAATTCATATGCTGAGATCGAACTTTTAGATATACATGTAAATGGTGTTTTCTAGTTAATATCTTGAATTCTTAATAAATTTATTTTTCTTTTGATTGAAACTTTGAAAGTCAAGCCTATCATCTTTTTGTAGTTCTTAAATATCGTCCAGATCATTAATAAAGCTGTAGCAGTATAGCCACGGTGTTTTACTTTTTACCTACGCAGGTTACAACATACAAATTACAATTAGGATGGTAGAAATAGTTGTTACAAATAGGCCAAGGAGTCGGAGTCGGAGTCGGAAGCATAAAAATTTGAGGAGTCGGAGTCGGAGTCGAAGGTTTTGTCTTCGACTCCACAGCCCTGTGAAATACACCAAGTGAACTAAAATTTTATGGGTGAAATGGTGCCATGGGGTGACTTCTCTTCCACCCCAATGCCTTCTCTTCTTCCTTCTCCTCCACCCCCATTCTAATTCCCATCATCATCATCATCATCATCCAGGAGCCTTCTATATACACACCTCAAAGTAAGTGAACTTTTCTACAATTTTTGTTGAATTTAGGAAATTTTCGGTGAGCTGGAACTAATTACCCAAAAACCCATTGAAACAATGGTTTCGGTTAACGAACTTTTCGGTTAACGAACAACCTGCTGGAACGGATTGAGTTCGTTACCCGAGGGACCACTGTATTTTATGAAAACTATGGCTACAAGAGGAAAATACTGTACACACAAAAGTTTTTTCCTTAACACTCCTTGCTGAAATGGGTTGTGTGTCTTATATGCCATAAAATACAGTAAATATATTCATCTACTGTAATATGTGAAATTAAGCCAATACATAAATTATTCAGCTATTTTAAGGTTTGCATAATCTTGTTTCACCAGACTTTGTGAGATTTTTAATTCTAATGCAAATTCTGTTAAGAGATTGAAGATTTTCTCATTTGTTAAAAAAATTTGTTTTTGCTTTCCACAGCAAGTTGTTGAGGCTGCTTCAGGAGCAGGAGTGTATGCTGCACTCAATTTAATAAATGACGTTCAACCAATGGCACGCAAGGTTGGGGTTATACTGTGTGGGGGCAATGTTGACTTAGAAAACCTTCCATGGATAGCAGCTACAACCTCTTATTAACCATAGTCATAATATATGCGATATGTAGGCAGTGTAGACTTAACTTATTTTATGAGCTCACAGTCTTGAGTCTGTGGTGCTTTTGTGATAGCATGGTGTGCAGTAATAAGTTTCTCACTCACCCACTTGTGTTCTTTTAGATCCTAACTTAGTAAGTCATACAGTGAGATTATTCATTGTTTTTTGATCAAATTCATTCCCCAGGCAGTGCTGAGCTCAGTCCAGTTAAAAGTAATAAATATGAGGCAGCTTCATCCCCCTGTGCAGTATTACAGTACCTGGTATACAGCTGGAAAATATATTGTATGTCAGCTGTTATACTCTGCCTACAGCTTCTGACTGCTTAAATAAACAAATTAATTGTAAGCTAATAATATAGACTTCATTTCAATCAGAAGGCTTTAGAATGTTACTCATTCTTAGTTTGTGTGTGTATGTGGGTAACATAACACCAGTGGAGGGAGAATTATTAGCCTTACCAACTCTGCTGCACCTTCACCATAGTTAAAACAGAAGTTAGAGCATAACATATCAAAAACAATAAACTTTTTGGGTTGAGATTGTTCATTTAGATGAAGGTAAGAACTGCAGTGGACAGTGGCTCCATTGCTCACTAAAATCTTAGTTAAAGCAGTATCAGTATACCTGTACTGTGCTGTACTGTACTGTATTGTACTGTACTGTACTGCTAAAATTATATGTTTGCTTTTTGGTAGTGAACCAAACAATAATTGTTTATCACCTGTATTGGTGCAACATTTATAATTTGTTTATACTGTATGTAATATTAGAACTACCACAGGATATTCCAATTCACTCACCAGTGTTTGCTCTACACTAAGGAATAACTGTACTGGATAAAGGTTGAAATTATTTCAATGTTTTGTTGTGTGGTCGTATTTGGTGATGAAGGTAACAAATAAGTTAAGCTACAGTACATGAAATGGCTGAGTACAGTACTAGCTCAGAGTCTGCCTGTGTCCCAGTCTAGTTGAAGAATACACAAACAACACAAAAATTGGCAAAACATTTTATTTTATTTTTTTTTTAACTTCAACAACACTGTAGAAGTTGAAACTGCAAGTAAGGTTTGTGAAGCAAAGCAATTCATGCATATCTTCATTACATATCATATGTCATCTGAGTATTGCAAAATTCTGATTGTATGAAACTGTACTCGCTAACATTATAGTAATTGTTCTGACTAAATTTTACTCAACGGTAAACGTTTCCAAACTGTATTTATGTAAATTCATTGTACCATATCTGTTTAAGTTAATGTGATCTTTGTTTGTTTTATATGTGTACTATTGCTCCCTGTGAGGCCATGTGTCTCAGTAGCAAAGGAACACAGTCTCATCATAACTTCACTCTCACTTAGTAGTTGGTTCACATTTGTCTCTATATTTTCTCTAAACCTTCCACCATGGTGCAGAATGAGTATTTTTTTTTTTTTACAGTACTGTACTAGTAAACTTGTGCTGTTATGATGGAGTACAAATGTCTGTTCTCTTTCCTTTCTTTTAACTTCAAAATTTTTAACAAATTTGCTTATATTTAGTTGAGATTTTTACTCACTGATAAATATATGTTAAGTTCACTCTTGATAATAATAGTTTTACACATTCCAAGTTTTCAGCTCTTAAATTAAAAGAAAGCAAATTATTTTCATTCTGAACAGTTGCAAATGTATTATTCTCCACAGACCCTCAGGTTGGAAGAAAAAGGGACAGGGTGCAAATAATTTGGGAGAGGCATCCAATGCATATGCTGTAGGTGCACATAAAATATATTCAAGGAGGATGGTTTGGGGGGCATGCTCTTCCAGAGAATTTGTGAAAATAGTGCAATTTCCTGTAATTTTAGGGGTATTTAAAGAGATAAAATCTAATATTTCCCCATGACATTTAATGAGATTGATGAAACATATGCTTTCATTATTAACAAACACAGTAGCTTTTGTACTTGAGTGTGGTTATCAGTTAATTACCTGTTCTGAGCGACACTGACATGTGGATGAATGATGATGTATGGGCACCTAAGGAGACTATGCTGACACTAATTAGTACATACAGTAGACCCTTGCCACTCGCAGGAGATAGGTTCCAAGAAATGGTGCGAATTTGCAAAACCGCGAATACCAATTTATACTACCTTGGTGCGCTACTGTATACTTATATCAAACAATAGACCAGCTGTGGCAGCCCTCATCCCCTCTTTTTAACTTATCTAATAATGAAACTTTCTTTGTCAGGGTCATCAATGATTTCTGCCTTTTACATTTCATTCCACTAGCATCACTAGCACTGACAGGAGGCAGTCTTTTATGGGCCATTTCACAAAGAAACACTAAAGTTTTGAGAGTACAACACGTGATGCTGCGTGAGGCGACTCGTTGTGCTGCGGGAAAAGGCTTGCAAGCGAGCCACAATAGCCACCATCTGCTTACTGCGAATCGTTGAAATCACAAACTCACGAATCACAAGTGTCTACTGTATATCTTACAAAGCTGAAGCTTCAGAGGGACCGTAGACCCTCTGGTTATACCAGGGGTCTGTCTGCTCCATTAGGCAGACATGTTCAGTGGATATAAAAATTTACAAGCAAATCATTGATTTCTGTACAGGTATACTGAAAAGACCATCCAAAATGTCAGGGCTCCAAACTACACTCGAGTGCCTTTACAATAAGCCATTTTATCTATGCAAATAATGGGAAGAAAGAGAACACATAATCATGTGACTGATTCCTACTGTGACATGTAAATGCCTTTTGAGAGGACTGTAACCAGAGCCCTGAAAGTACAGGAAGGCATAAAGCATATCTGAGGTAATCATAAAATCCTTTGCAGAAATATAATAGTAAATATGTTTTTCTTTATAAGGTAATTAAAATTTTGCAATTGAAAATGAATAAATTCTTGGGAAGAATTCAAACAACAGAGTATGAAACTCAGTGGCATGATAAAGCATATGCATACTGAGGATAGGCAGGTGAATAAGGAGAATACAGTGTTGAATGGCCTAATGCTTGGCTTTGAGCCTAAATTTCATAAATCTGCCTCATTTACACACAATTGCAGGGTCTCAATTGTTTCAGTTACTATTGACAACACAACACATATATTGTTTCTCAATTTTGATCTTTTTTTTTCATTTTTGTATTACTTTATGGTTCTTTATTATTATTATTATTATTATTATTATTATTATTATTATTATTATTATTATTATTATTATTATTATTATTATTATTATTATTATTATTACATTTTCGTCCCCCAGGCCCTGATGTGAGTCAGTGACCTGTGCCCAGGTGGGCTAATCCCCATAAAAATAAATAAATAAATAAAAAAATAATCAATCATCTAATCAATAAGGAGAATATAAGTAAATTCATGACCAAATGGTAATTGTGGTTGAAAGACAGGATGTTACAAGAGTTCAGAAGTTATGGAGGAATATGTTATACCATAGTGATGTTTGGCAAACTTTTGTGAGTGAGTGTACTGTTTATTAGGGTGTGTGTTCTCTATTAATATATAAAATTCCTATACTTTTTGTTTAATTTATGGGAACATAAATCTCAGATGTCTCTTCACATCTTGATTGTATTGTGTTACATGTCGAACTTCTGTTTATGCAAGACGTAACTATAGCTGGAAATGCTTTCAAATATTGTACAGTCAGTCCAAAAGGTATCTTTATGATTTTGTGTGAGACCATGTGATACAACTGACGAAGGATTTGGCAACTACCGAGACAACAGGAGCTGCAGTGTTCATTTTGAAATTTATCAGACCTTCTGTAAAAATACCTTTTGTACATTAGAAGTACATCATCTTAAAATATTTGACAGTATCAGGTGAAGACTTAGGGGGTCATATCAAAAGCTCAAAACAGACATGAGAGTGTACAGTATTTTGCAACTTATGTGATTAAAGATGTTTATTTTGTCTGTAGACTTAGAAATTAGTATCATAACAACTTTGAACTTTTGAACTTAAACATTTAAAAAAATTATATAGTGTTGGGATATATATAAGTAATATCGACATTAGCCGGAATCCCTCTTTACCGGAACTCTCCAATTGCCGGAATGTAAATTTGGTCAGAATTTTTCTGGAAAATTCTCTCAATTCCGAGTTTGAGAACAAATTCTTAGGTTGAAAATCAGGAGCATTTACTGAAGAAAAAAATAAATTATTTTTTTTATTTTGGGTCTGGGAGCAAATGTCGATTATGAAATAATGCTCAATTACCGGAAAATCTGATAAAATGGGGACAAAAATCACTCCAAACCTTTCTGCTAGGGGCCTGGGGACAAGGGTTCTCGGCATTATGAAAGATTGTGCCATGTTTAGCCACATCCTCACATGGTTGGTGGGAAGACCAACCTTTTGGGTAATGCTGGATTTTTCTGCTTTGGGTCTTGGCATGTCACCTCACCTACTACCTCTTCACCTCACCTACTGCCTTGTCACCTCACCCTTTACCTCATTAGCTCAGCTCGGAATTACAGTGATTTATTACTGTATTACGTATTTTACTTTTATAGTAATGTATGTACTTTTAAAGAAATATTTATAAGAATAGAGGAAACTGCAGTGAGCCTATTGGCCCATACTGGGCAGTTCCAACCCCTATTGCTCATACAGTATATCCATCCAACCTATGTTTGAAGCTATCCAGTGTAGATCACTTGCCTCGAACTACCGTGCAATCAGTTTAACATCAATTGTAGGCAAATTACTGGAAGCAATCATTTCAAACTCTATTCGAAATCACTTGAGAAGCACAAGTTGATCAATGATTCCCAACATGGCTTCACAAGCGGGCGTTCATGTCTAACTAATCTATTAACATTATTTTCAGCTGTTTTCAAATCAGTGGACGAGGGGCACGACTATGATGTGGTATATCTTGACTTTAGTAAAGCTTTCGACATAGTCCCCCACGAAAGACTATTAAGAAAAGTGGAGGCTCATGGCATTGGAGGAGATATTCTAAAATGGATTAAGGCGTGGTTACAGGACAGGAAACAGCGAGTGAGCATTAATTGCACTAAATCCCATTGGAGTAACGTCACTAATGGAGTACCCCAAGGCTCAGTACTTGGACC